CCCCAAAACCCCAAAACCCCAAAACCCCAAAACCCCTAATCAGTTATTGAAGGTTTAGTTTTGAAATATACAGATTTAAATAATTAAATAAAGCTGATAAGATGATTTTGCAATCTTCCCAATCAGCAGGTTGATCTCTACAATCAAGCACTTTTTGAAGAGAATGAAGATTTTCATTATTCTCTCCTCTGAACATCCCCTGAGTTGCTTCCAGCTTCCAACTCTCTGGATGAGTAGCCCTCTTCCAATTGCTCTTTACCAAGGTTATCTTTTACCATTTTAACAGCCTCATAGAATTCTTTTTGCTCATCTATGAGTTGATTCATGTTTTGCTTTTGGAAGTTTCTAGTAGCATCCATAAGAGCCATGTCGTTGGCAAGAGGTCTAACTCTGTCTTTGAAGTCAATGAGGTCAAGCATGAAGTTGGAGAAAATAGAGAGCTCTGGGTTGTGCTCTCTCTTGGCAATCATCATGTAGTCCTTTCTGTCTGAAAGATCAACAGTCTGATCCTCGAAGATCTCTGCGAATCTTAATTTATCTCTGTTGGCCAAGTTGTCGAAGTACTCGAAGAATGGCTGCTCTTCCTTGTCAGTCTCATAGTAGTCCTTGTATTATTGAAGTGCTTCTCTGATAATGTACTCTCTCATTGGTCTGGTGTCATCAACAGCGCGAGTCTTGAATGTTGCGGGATCTAGCATGAATTGTGCTACAGATGTCTCTTTGGTGTCTTGTTGATAGAGCTCGAAGAGATCTTGTTCAAGAGCTGGATCTCTGGCCTGAGCTCTCTCAACGAATCTGGAGATAACTCTGCCTTGTCTTCTGCCGTAGGTGTCTTGGTCGTCATTGCAGTGTCTGTATTTGTACTTGAAGATCTTGTTCTCAATAACATCTTCGAAGTTTTCATGAGGCTCTTCCAAGAGAGCAGTCTCAACGAAATCGTAGTTCTTGAATTGGAATTGACCCTCTGCAGCAATTTGCAACTCGTCAAACTTCTCCTCAATGAGATCGTCTTCTGGGTCAACTTCAAGATCAGATTCATAATAGTCTCTGTACTATTGCTCTTCTTCAGTGAGTCCTCCGAAGAAGTATGTATAGTTTTCTACCCATCTTTCTCTCTTTCTTTCAAGCATTCTTCTCTCACGTCTTTCGTGATTTTCTGGGTCGATGAATTTTCTGGATTAGAACTTCTCAACCTTATTGAATATTCTGTCAAACTTTCTGATTGACTTCTCAATAGCGTACCAGGTCTCAAATAAATCCTTGCCATATGGAGTTGGAATGTATATTCTATGGTCACTTAGTTGTCTGTCAACTTCAACGTAAGCTTGATGCATAGCGTATAATTTTTCATGAGCCTCTTGTAATCTCTCAAGTTTGTAAGCAGGATCAACCAAGATTCTGTCAGCTTCGTCAGAGTTTACATGAATGTATACATTGGTAGCTGGAATAGTTTGGATGGTAGCTTAGGGTCTATCTCCGAAGAATGAAGTGAGATTAATCATCATGTCCTCTTCAGCAACGTCGAAATGTGATAATGTTGAGAACATAAGTGAATAATAATCTTGCAACTCTGAAAACTCATCCTTTAGTCTTACGATTTTAAAGCATTGACCGCAAGTTTGGCATCTGTGAATTGGCCCCTCTCTAACGAAATAGAACATCTTTTCATGAGAGTGAGAATCATCTTCAATACCTGGCCCCATGCAAATAACAATTCTCCATGAACTGTCTGAAGTGAAAATAAGAACTGGGTTGTCGACGGTACCGAATTGGGAGTGCACAACTGACTCCATTTCATGCCATTGATTTAGCTCAATAGCATTCTGAGTGATAGAGGCACTGAATGATGCTGCGGTGTTACCGTGAGTTCTATAGCCCTCTGGAAGTTGGGACTCATAGTTGAGGTTATCAGGCTCAGCAAAGCTTTGGAAGTGTCTGTATGGCTTGAAGAATCTGTCCTTAACTCTGTCAACGAATGAGAAATAGCCTCTCCTAGCCACTTTTGCTTGGCCAGTCTGAGTGAGACCTGTCTTTACTGCAGCCAAGTGTTGTCTTCCAGTTTTTTAGAGATTCTTTACGAGCATCATATTAGATTCTTTCAATATTTATTAAAATATTTATTATAGCAACCTTAATTGCTAATATTCAAATCAATACTGCTTTGAGGGGTTTTGGGGTTTTGGGGTTTTGGGGGGAGAGTTTTAAT